CTGGGTATAAATTTTTGGCCGCCATCTTGGATCCGCCATATTGGATACAAAGTTTTTTTTTTTCAAAGGTAAAGGTTGTGGACTACCCATCGTTTTAAACTAGATTTTTATGGTAAATACGATGCTGCAATCCGTTTTTAAAAATCTTGATCCATTCTAAAGTTATGAGAACTTTTTATAACATTATTTTTAGCCCATTTTAACATTGTGCATTTAGAAACTAAGAACATAATCGCAAAATAGTGCTAGATAAAGATAAGTATACACCACATAATATACATAAATCTTTATTTAGCACTATTTTGTGATTATGTTCTTAGTTTCTAAATGCACCATGTTAAAATGGGCTAAAAATAATGTTATAAAAAGTTCTCATAACTTTAGAATGGATCAAGATTTTTTAAAACGGATTGCAGCATCATATTTACTATAAAAATCTAGTTTAAAACCATGGGTCACAACCCTACCTTTACATTTGAAAAAAAAATTGTATCCAATATGGCGGATCCAAGATGGCGGCCAAAAATTTATACCCAGTCAAAATGAAGTACTAACTACTCTACAATGATATGACGTAGTCTGGAGTTGATATCTTAATAAATGTAGAAAAAAGTAGGGGGGAACTTATTTAAAACTCTAACTTATTTAACTGTATAACGTTATTTTCATTTAGTTTTACTTCGGGAAATCATTTAGATATGTTCAATTTTCCTGTTTATACTGACATCACTACATAGACATTGCTATAATACAATTTTTGAAAATTATTTTTTACTAGCAGCCTTTAACTCTCAGGAAATCATGAGTATGAAATATGATTATGATAATTTTGATAATTATGATAATTTAACGTAATTTTACATATTGGAAATTGACATACTAGTAATGACACAACACATGCTCGCAATTATAATGTTAGAAGAAAATCAAACATCATAATCATTGGCTGTGACGTTTTACGAAATTATTGTCATGATTTATCATCGTTTTTATTTGTACTCTTGCAAAATAGTGAAATGAGTCATACTTTTAAATGCGTATGAACAAAAAGGAAAATAATAATATCTGTGAATTTATGAGAATGTTGTCATTTCATTTCTGTTCTAAACAATACAAGTATTGATATCTCCCCGAGAAAATGCGGTATTTTTTCAATTAAACGTAATAATTTAAATAAACAAATTGTTACAATTGCCTTTACAGACATCCCACATAACGACTTGCATGCACTCTTGGAAAGATTCTCTGAAACGGTGAAAACAAAGCAATAACTCATCAATGCTCTAACTAAAACATCCCATGAATATTCAACTTATCATTAGTAGCTCTTTGAAACACTCTCAGTAAAAAAAAAATAGTATACGACTGATTTCTACATAATTACACAGATTAGTGAGCAATGCCTTTATCACTAGCTAACTTTGATCAATCCTACACTAAATGTAAATTATTAGATGAATAAAAGTAAGACATAATCCGAACCTAAGACTGATGTATTTCTACAAAACAAGTCTTCTGTTTAGTTTCAGAGAAAAACACTTTTTGCACAAAGCGTTTATGAATGTATGTGTTTTATTCATTAATCTTGTTTCACCGTACAGAAGTTTAACGATCAAACCATTTTACTGTTTGATAATTAACGTTTTGATACAAATACCTACTAATTATGAACTACGTCTTTGTAAGAGATGAATCATACTAGCTGTTTATTCGCTTGGGTAATCTCGTAATGGTAAAATAAATTTATAATCTTTGAATCAGTGCTGCAAAAATTGGAATAATCATGAAATTATGGATATAAACTAAACATTACATGGCGTTTGTCCTCGCACTTTGAAAGTAGGCAAGCTTTCACTTTCAAATTTTATCGCTGCCTTAACGAATTTCCTTTGATAGTACACTAGTAGCCTATATCCTTAATAATTTCAATCTCAGAGGTAACACGACAAAAAGACTTCGAATGGCTTCCGGCCGCAAAGAGAGATAACTAATGCACTTTTCTGCAACTGCAACATAATTACTTTGTCTCACTTTTCCATTGACCACATACATTGACCATGGACACTTTAGCCCAAAAGCCAAACAAGCATGACAATGCAATCAATTCATATGTTGGTTCTTTAAAGGCTTAAGCATTTATTGCTTGTAGCTATTGGTAGGGACATAGTTATTGTATACTGTATCATTGTGAGTCCATACTCTCAGTCTTTAAAAGTTATCAAAACTTCGTCAACAACTCTTCGTGAGTAGGGCTCTCTACGATTGTTAGGCTACATTCCTTACCTATATCAAATATCCAGCAGCAGATCGAAAGCATTAATATTTTTGCTTATGAGGAGGCATCCAGTGCCACCTAAAATGTGGAGGAATTGTTTTCAACATTTAATGATTATTGTTTTAATTTTCATTAAAATGACCTCGATATCGGTTGCATCATATTCGTACATTTGTTGATAAGACATCAACATTCGTAACAATTGTAAAATAAGATCTAAAAATTGCCAAATACGATATTAAATTACAATTTAATATTAGGTACTAAATGGTACTGTACTCTGGATTGGTATATTTCTGAACGAACAAAACTGGACAAATTGTTTGAAACATATTTGAAATGTGTCACGAAAATAAACTGTGCTGAAAATAGAGTTAACAAAGGTTATGTAATGCCAAATAGAATCAATAAAAAGCGCAATAGCCAAGTAAACACCACTTGAAAAATCATTGTTTTACAAAAGTATACCTAAAATGTCACAATAAAAAACAACTACAAAAAACAAATATTTTGGAATTGATGGTATAAATAATAAAAACTGTCAATCAACTGGTATACGATAAAAAACTAAAATTGAATGTTCATATGGCTAACATTGAATAATTTAGGGCTCTTAGGGCACAGCCCTTTGGTAAAACCATCATGAAATTTATTTAACTTTCCTATTGAGTAGGCTTATACTGAATTTAATTCTTTTAGATTGTCCAGGATTTGGAGAATATTCCCTGATAAATTTTCATATTGTTTTAAGATTTTAGTGTTTCAAATGAATTGAAGTTAATACAAATTTTAGAGCATAGTTATCATACGATCCCATTAAACATTTTATGTCATTAATTATTTCTTAATAGGCAGGTTGAGGCTGCAGTTTAGCTTACGCTGTAAAAAAACATCAATCAAGGATGTTCAGTTTTAGACAATGACTCATCATCATTGGTGATAAATAATGTGAAGTAAAATAATATGTACAAGTACTGACAAATAAAAAGTTTTTTCTCGTAATATAACTACTAGCAGCAGTAGCAGTAGGTACTAGAGAGATAATTAATTAATTATATAGCTATTTGATTTTATTCTACTTCACGTAACTTAATATCAATCACATTAAAATGTTAATAAACATATTTGTTGTATTATTGCTTAATTTAGTTTCCATATGTAAAGTATATTTACTTGTATATCAAGTAAAATAGTTCTCACTAAAAAAACAGTATCACACATTATTACTTGAACAGAACGTCACCTATCTATTAAAAAAAAGATTAAAAGTTTACAACAGTCTGTGATTGCAAAGTTTTACTAAACATTGCTATACAATCTAACTCAATAGAATAATCCCCAACAATCAAATTAAGCGAGTGAAAAGGCGATTATATCGTGGGTATAACCACCGAATCAATATAAACGGTAGCGTGTTTATGGCATGCAATATCAATTATCTTCCTACAACAAATAAACGTGACCGATAGTCGATAGAACGCTTTATCCTGGATGGACACGTCAGTTAATAGTTTCTGCAATGCTTTTTTTGCCAAACCTGGATTTAAATTTGTTTAATAGGTAAAAACGTTTAGATTTTTGAAGTAGATTTGTTTTTAATACTCGTATACATACTATCTATGTGGCCATCCTCAAGTTTCTTGTCTGCTGAAACTATTGGAACTAAAACACTATTATTCTTAAAACTATTGCTAGTACGCAGCTCTATGTTATGGAGCTCTATTGCCACATCTGGAAATCGCGTTAGTGGTTTTCCGTTTTGTGACAACCTTACTAATATAGTTTTGACTCTGGTAGATTCCTTTCCTCTCCAATGCCAATGGATGACTCATAAACCACCAAAACGGCCGATTTTGACACCCTACTGTATGCAGAAGTGACCCTGAGTGATACTTGAGACTGTGCTCGTACAACTGTAAACTGGTACGTTTATTTATTAAGAGGATATGTACACACTTAAGAGCTGTGTAAAAGCACACACTTGAATGCAGAAGAGTCTTCCGGCGGGTCTGAGAAACCCCGACATTTACCTTGCGTTTACTAAGAGCAGTCACCGCATCTGCAAACGCCACGTACTGATGTCTGCTGACCAAATCAGTGCTCTTGTACGCTGCTGAGGTCTGGGCCCATGTTCTGAAGAAGCGCGTCTTCCGTGACCGGCTTTCCCGCGCCCAACATTGATGAGCCTCAGTCGCTCCTGCCTACCACACCGTCTCCGAGTCTGCAGTCATGGTAATTGATAGTATATCAATCCCATCTTCCATCTCGGGAGGGACGACAGGTGATCCACCGCAGGATACCTGAAGTTGATAGAGAAACTGATGCTAAAGAAGTGTGCAACCGCAACTTCGATTGCTGGCAGCGCGAATAGAACGCCGAGTTGGACGACCAGGCTCACTTCAAGCATCCGACCATGGGTGGAAGGGCAGCATGGCAAAGTCAGGTATTTCGTGACCCAGTTTTCGTTGGGTCATGGGTTCTTCTCGGCCTTTATGCACTGAATTGGGAGGGCCACCAGCTCGGAATGTGTATATGCACAGAATAGGGAGGGCCGCCAGCTCGTAATGTGTGGACTGTCCAGTCATAGCAGACACGGCCGAGCAAACCCTTTTCTTCTGTGAAAGGTGGTATGTCCGCCGAGCTTCATTGATTTCTGAGATCGGCGACGACATTACTCTCGACATCATCATTGGAGCTATGCTCGAGAGGAAAGGCTTATGGAACTATGTCAAGCAGTTCGCAGAGGCCACACTTCGGCCTAAGAAGGTCGATCTTGATCGGCCATAACCTTAGGAAGCAACAAAGAAGGTAAGTTCTAAGAGCCCTATTACACTTGGTCACCAGGCGACGCCACCGGTGGCGTCACCTGGTGACATCACTGGTTACTGTACGGGCAGCCAGCCTCAACACCAGAGAAGTCACCAGGAGTGAGACCAACCTCCAAAGTTCCTCCACTCCAGTGTCTACATATATTCAGCGCTGTCACCTCATTGAAGGACAAAGTACTCTGTTATCCGCGTCTTACCTCTTCAGTTTAAAAAATGTCCAGTGAACAAACATTAGTGAATAAACGGGGAAGAGATGCAGGGAAAGGAAAAGGGGAAGAAGACTCAGTAAAAGTAAGCCAGTTTAATGTAAAATGTAGTGGTGAAAAAGATACCAATACATTTTCCTTAGGGGTGCACGTACATTTTCCTTGCTCGTCTCCTCCTTTTTCTCAACAAAAGAGCAAGAATTTCTTCATATTTTTCCATCAGTACCTCCACCCACTACACTGGCAACAATCTGAACTGGCAGAACACGAAAATACAGTGGTGACGCAACACCGGTGACTGTGTGTAATATGTGCCATTTGATTCAATGCCCAGCGACAAATCTTGGTCCCCAGTGGTTACTCGTCTGGTCACGGGCCAGAATCATCGGTCAGTCACCAAAGGCTGGTGACGCAACCGATGACCAAGTGTAATAGGGCCCTAAATTAAAATCTATCGGATAGTTTAATGTAAACCATTTTTATAAGTAGGCCTACTATCCAAAGCCTAAAGTTTACTTTTGAATGCCTTTACAAGTTAAAACTATATATTTTTATTGTTATACTATTGACATACGCTTGTACAAAATCTATTGTGTGGACATTTTAGACCTGAATAGAATACTCTACGTGGATACAAGACTTTGTCTTAAAGATTTACAATAACCAAAACCCCAAATTACGACACACTATTAAATTACACCTTGACACAATTATTCGTGATACTAGTTAAACACAATATATACAGCTTTTTGCATGACCAAACTATTTTCCTGCTCGTAATTTTAGATTGTTATGTACAATCAAATAAAAACTTATATTTTTAATGGTCTCGTAAAGTATAAAGTTGGATTTTCAAAATATAAGTAAAATTAATTGTTTATGAAAACAAACACTTTAGTCTGATGCTATGGTTCGATGAACTTGGAATAAGTTTAGTAAATTCCTTTTGTGTTTAGCTAAATGCCTGGATTCCTTATTAGAGTTAAACCTCTACCATCGTCATCAGTTCTTCAGTTAAGTTATTTCACAGACAGATTACTCATTATTATAGTTTTTGAGTGAAATAGCTTGACCAACGTTAACAAAACTACCTTTATCATACTCCTCTGACAAAGTGTAAAAAATTGTTCTATTTACGCTACAGAACTTATGAGTGTAACTTAAAATTTTTTTTGTCAAAATGTGTTTAAATATAATTACCAATATTTATGGCAAGATCACAATAATATTCTTAAAACTAAAGATAATTACTAGGCACTTCTGTAACGCAAAAAACATATACCTAATTTAGTACCATGACAGTTAATTGTTGATGTGGTTACGTGATTCTCAATCGTTGATTAATGTATAACCATATTTATGTTAATCTATTCGTCCCTAATAGAATTTTATAATCAAATGATGATTTTTTGTACTTAAATTTCATTAATACAATCCTTTGTTCATGACATGGCTTGGGAAGGAGAAATCGTTTTTGTAAGTCCTTCTTATATTAAACATCAGACGGATGTAATAAAATATGACCTCCAGAACTGTATATCATATACGCAGATAAACTGTAGGTACCCATTACAGTAATTGTTATACGTACTTTATTACATTATTTGTATGACAGCACAATGCTATGTTTGTTAAGAGCTTGTTTGTATTTTATTCAGTAATTTAACTTTATCTTTATAATTGGATTGGTGAGATCAAATGAGAAAAAACTAATTTTGACCCATCCTAGCAAGATAGGATGTTTCGACTATTTAAAGCATAAACTGTTTGAAGATATTTTTAAATATATTTAAAAGGTTAAGAGGAACCATAGATGTTTACTATCTATAGAATACGCAATTCCTGAAGTTGTAATTTGTAGTCTCCCATTATGTTTATGGTTAGTTTATCAGGCCATGAAGTTCCCCTCCCTCAGCTCACATGTACTCTGTCCTCACTAGTCTGCTTGTTATAAATTGCTGCAGCAGGTATCGCGCTGCAACGTATGTATAATATTCCGTTCCTTACTGCATTGTTTTAATTGCAATGTGTTACTCTGTAATTCTTTCGGTGTGTATTAAATATCAACCAATAAACTCGATACTTGCTCTGTAATTGAATGTTTATACCTGAAAAAGAGTTTATAAAAATATGCATTTGTGGGTTGTGGTTAATGGTTTGTGCAATACTATCCACTCAGCATCTTGCTATTTATATTTGGGTTTTATGTTAACCAATTTAACTAAAAATTCAACTTTGTCACACCTTCATATGACATAATTTAATAACTTTCAATTTATAAAATGGAGTTTGTGCAGTTTTGTTTGTAGTGATGCAAACCATAGTTGAGGTTATAAAATATTCATAAAAATTGGTTTTTTTATGTTCGCTTGTAACTCGTGAAGACTGCTTACGTTCTATATGAACAATGTTCAGGATAGTAATAGAATAACAGACTAAATTTATACAGTATTTTCAATTTATTGAGAAATGTATATTTTCTATGTACGCAATAATGGGTTGTGTTCCATACACCAAAATAAAGACATCATATTTTTATATTTGTTATGTTTTTAGTTTTATTTTGTCTTTGTTATGTAAATGTGCGTGTGCTTAATGGTATTGCACATTTGATTCGCCATAATCACGTATCAGTTGAAAAGAAAATGTTTTTAGAGAAGTTTTATCTGGAAATAAAAGTGAAACGGTGCTGTGGGATTACTAAAACTCGTCGAATACATCCTTTAATTAAAATTTCAGAAGTGTCCACCACGTCAGTTTTAATTATAACTCTTCTTTGTTCCTTTCCCCTTACTTTTTTAGTTATTAGTAAAAAACTAGGTTTATCTAATCAATCGAAATTTATCGATCCAGTTCGTTTTACACAACGAGCACTTAAGTGTTTGTGAGTCTTTCAATATTTTCATGGTAACATCATCCAAATCATTAAACAGATTTTCAATTAAGTTTATTGCATTTAACTGTAAAATTTTCCGTCTCTTATTTTTGTCTCAAGGTTCATATTGTTTCAAGAACTAAAATGTAATGTGAAAAGTATATTTATTTAATCCTTTAGAGGCCGACCCTATAGTATAAGTCGCTCTGCGTAGGACCGGGGTACTTTGAACAGTTTCTGCAATGTTATAGAAAATACTCCCGCCGCAGCAAACCTGCCGTCTAAGCGAATTTCCATTTGGCTGAATTGATTTTCAATTGATCTATTTAAATAACATTAGGTTTAACGAGTACCTAGGTTTGCTGCTACAAGGAAACTAATAAAGTGTGTTTTTAGTAAAATATTGATAGCTTACTATAAAATAAATAAATTTGCCAAGTTTGATCAAAATATATCCATAAACAAGCAAACTACAACATTTTACAATATTCTCCATAAGAATAACATGGGAATTTTGAATTTACAATTTTTTTAGTTTTCTCCGTAACCAATAACCGTACAAAAACACTTTGATATACTGAATTGTTTGTTTTTTAAAGCTCTTTAAGAAGGTTAAGAGAAAAATTGGGACATTTTGTGTTTTGAGGGTCAAAAGTGAGAAAAACCAATTTTTACCCCATAAAACCCCCCATAAAACCCTGTTCCCGTGGTCCGATCATCCTGGATCGCGAACTCATTCAAGTTTATCCCGCCTTACACCTTCAAACCAAATTCCATCAAAATCGAATAAAAATTACTCAAGTTATCGTGTTCACGGACACATATATATATATATATAAATCTATATATATATATATATATATATATATATATACATATATAAAAATTTGAACGAATGGTGTTTTTGGCCTCTGGGGATATCAAAATGAAAAAGTAAATCGGTCCCGGGCCTAAGTCTTACCATGAGACCTACGGTAATAGCTACTTCCCTATAGGGAAATTAGCTAAAAGGCTATAGCTTTTGAATGGCAGCCCTCATTAACATTTATTGCATGCTGTTGTTGATTTTTTTGATATTTTATATTTTTTGATATTTTTTTATAATCATTTATTTAAACTGGCGATTTATAGGTAGTTAATCTTTTTAGAAAAAAAAAATAACTTCCAGAAATCGGAAGTTGGTGTCCTAAGTGTTGAAATAGTTTTTTAATAGATAACAATGAAGGTAAATACGACATAGTATTGTGGAACAATGGATTTAAACTGTTACGTTGCAGAATATAAACAAGATAAACGATATTCGTAATCGTTCTAATATCGTATCTCTTAGTGATGCTCAGCGTGATAGTGATAGTGATAGTGAGTGTCGTGGATGACACTGAAGTGTGTACTTACAGATGTGAGTAATGACGTTACAGAGATAGCACGACAATGGCCATTACCGCTAGCATCAACGATAGGGTTTCGCCAGACGAGGATGTTTTGTTGAAAGTTACTACCAAATACATTAAAATAAAACTGTTAACGCAAATTCAATTGTTACCATCTCTCTGTACAGGTAAAAATATTCAAAACCACTAGAGGATGTATTAATATATTACTATAGAGAAATTTGTAGATTCTTATTTGATATAAATTATAATTTGAGCTAACGTTAAACTATAAAATACAAGTGTCAACAATTCTGAAAAAATAACTAAAGAAAATAATTTTAGATTATAACAATATTCTAATATCTGAAGCATTAACTATTTTTTATTAGTAGAGGTAGAGTAGTAAAATACCCTATAGCTAGTGGAACTACTAAAAGAGGAAGAAAATGTAATTTTATCAAAACCATATGGTGAATACTTTTAATTTAAGTTACATTGTAGTCGAGCAATGCTGCCTCTCCGTGGACAAAAGTTTGTGAGAGAACGTAAAGTTTTGTTCAACATTTGAATAATTCTCTGGTGGATGTATAAGTTTAGAGGGTAGCATAAGATAAAATTGATTTTGTTTAGGATCTTCCATGAAATCAGCTCACCACATATTCAATTGAATTTTAAATAAAATTGGAAATACTCGCTATTTTATAGTGAGAGTAGGCTCTA